CACACACACACACACACACACACACACACACACACACACACACACACGTCTGACTGCTGTGGGCCAAGCAGGCCCGGGAAACCTCCCCGGTGGGCTGGAGCGGCGCTGGGGAGTGAGAGCTCCGACTGAGCCTTGCCGAGCTTTGGGTAGGGAGAGTTTATTTTTGTCTCAGCTGTCGCAGCGGCTGCTCACGGCCTAAATCCAGAGGGGAGCCTGGCGGTGGAGATGCTGGCTGTTGCTGTAGATGGAGCTGCAGCCGTAAGGCTGCTTCTCCGGGAGGAGGTGGAGGGAGGGAGGGGAGGAATTGGAGGAGGGAGGAGGAGAGCGGGAGGAGGAAGAGGAGGAGGAAGAAGAAGAGGAGGAGAGGAGGAGGCTGGAACCCTGGCTGCCTCTGTCACCGCCTCTGCTTTGCATTAGCCCCCACCCCACCCCCGCGCCCCTTCGCAGCCGCATTGCAAGTTTTCAGCGCGGGGAGGATCTGTTGCTGGTGCTGGCGTTCGCAGACACAGCCCTGGAGGCCACCCCGGGTGGGGCGTGCAGGGAGCACTAGCGGGTCACAGCCGCAGCAACAGGAAGCCGCGGGGTCTCCTCCCGCACCTGGGAAGGAAGCTGTGCAATAGCTCAGCTTGCGCATCCGAGTGTGGAGGGGCCGGTTGGAATTTGGGAGACTTGCCTGCACGGGACACCCCCAACCTTAGCTTCCACACCCCCCTCTACCGGGCTCCCCCTGGTGCCCGGATCCCCCTAGACGCTCTCCTCCTGGGGCCGAGGTCTCACTGCAGCTCTTTCTATCTTTTCAGTAGTGATTGCCGTTTGGGAATGCGGGTGTGAAGGGTCCGAGCTGCCGCCCAGCGGGGAGGAGACCCCGGGACGCCGGAAATCACCATCCTGAAGCTACAAGAAAAGGAGAAAGAGCATTCTTCATTCAGTTTTGTGCCTTGTGAGGGATTTATATTTGTAATCGCTATTTTTTTTTACAAAAAAAAAAAAATCTCCGTGCTACTGTCTGTCACCGTCTCTGGGGAATCAACCAGAACCACCGGAACGTAACTGAACCGAGAGAGAGAGAGAGGCAGGAGCCGAGTCAGTACCTGCAGCGCCCGGGCACCGGAGACCTTGGAACCGGAACGTGTCTCGGGAGGCCGCGGGGCTGCGGCTCCGCCAAACTTTGGGGCGGGCAGGGGCGCCGAGAGGCTTCGTAGACGGAGGGCGGCCTCCTAACCATGATGTTTCGCGACCAGGTCGGGGTGCTGGCGGGCTGGTTTAAGGGCTGGAACGAGTGCGAGCAGACTGTTGCGCTGCTGTCGTTGCTCAAGCGCGTGAGCCAGACCCAGGCCCGCTTCCTCCAGCTCTGCCTGGAGCACTCGCTGGCCGACTGCGCCGAGCTGCACGTCCTGGAAGGAGAGGCCAACAGTCCGGGTAAGTGCGTGGCCGTGGCTCCCCGGGAATCCAGACTCCCCGCCTCCCTCCCGGGCCCCGCCCCCCGGCCTCCACTCCGCGGGGACCTCATCCTTACTGGCCCCCGGGGCTCTGGGCATCTACCTCGGACCCTGTTCCTCTTCTCCTCTTCTGTCCGCTTTGGGGTTTTGCCCATTGTGAACTCCTTAGTCCATTCCGTGTGGTAGCTACGGTAGCATGAATGATTGATTTTTTTTTTTCCTCTCCTGCGCTTTCCTTGGAAATAAGTAAGTCAGGTCACGTAGAGTCTGGATTTTCTGCCAACCCGCCCCCCCAACCCCCCTCTCCTTTCGGGTAACGTGGCTCGTTGGTTTTCAGCAATACACCAGGAAGCTGGGGACTGCCCTTCCAGTCGCCGAGCTCAGACAGGCTGTAAGAATAACTGAAAATGCAATTTTATTATTCATTCTCCTCCAACCCCCACAGATAGCACTGTTTTAGAGGTTTGTCTTCCGAATAATATGTAGGTGACGCTATAGGCTGTCAAAATGACATTTGCAGTATGGCTGTGATGTGGCTACACTTACTGGTCATGACGTTATCCGCATTGATAAGAGATCTTGTGGGAAGAGCAGGCATGGCTTGGGCTCCACAGTGTGTGGCTTTTGTGAGGAAACTTTAAGGAACAGAACAGAATTGTTTCTTAGTAACCTTCTAGTATTTACAGACACAGCGACTACACAAAAAGTAAATATAGCCGGAACGTCCAGCGGTTTGCCATCTGCCGTTATGGGTGGTGATTATAAATTATATCTCGAGTAAGGGGAGGCTGGGGATGGGGGTGTGTGAGAGGCTGGTGACTGTGATTTTGGGGGGCAGGGAAATTCTTTGGTTTTTTTTTTTCTGCGGCAGGAAGGCTAACAGAGCCCCCAGTGTTAATGCAGAGTAAAGAAGGTAGGGTCCTCTTCCATCTGGGAGTCTATGAGACTGGGGAGGGGGGAGTCCTGGTTGCCATTTGTTGACAAGGTCCAGTCCAGGGCATTAAGGATTGGAGGTTGCTGAAGTGAGTGAGTCTTTAGGACAGGCAGAGGAGAGCCTGTGGCTTCCTCATTCCTCCAGCCTGATACAGCGCTTACGATACTGAAAACCGTAGAATGGGATGTTTCCTTATATAGAATCATAGGGTGGAAGTGGAGCTAGGAATCCTGCAGGCCTTTTCCTGACTGCATCCAAAGGACCCTGAACTGCCAAGTATGGAGGGTCATTCTGAGGGAAGACTCCACTCAGCCCCAGCCTGGCAGGCCAGAACAGCTACTCAGAAGGGCACAGTGTTTGGGCCCCCTTGCTGAAGCTTGAATGCTACATTTATAAATAGCTGAAGGCCAACCTCGTTCCCCTGGGTGTAGACGCATGACCAGGGTGACCGATGATCTGCCCACCTCACTTCTGTCCTTAAGTCAAAGCATAGCTTTTCACCTGCTTGAGCTGGCTTCCTTGGACTTGACACACAGGATTATGTAAACTTTTCCTTTTGTAGAATGCAGGGAATCTAAGTACAGTCATTTATGTTCAATGCTTGACTTCAGGAAGCCCAGGGGCTGGTTAAACTAACAATAATTTGTCTTTATGCTATTCAGATGTGGATGCAGCATTTTTTCCCCTTTGAGTAATTGTGAGGACTTTTTCCAATATAGTAGCTATCGAGCGAGTAAGTAAAGCAATTAGATGTATGATACTAAAAATAAATGGCTTCATTTAAAAAAATCTTATAATTTAACAAACAAGAATAATTAAAATTCTGTCTGCTTTTGAGGCACAGTTGTTAATTTTTCTCTCTTAAACTGAAAACATATTTATGTAAAATACTGGCCAATTTGGGCTACTAAATGATGCAGAAATATAAAATGTGAAACCATTGCATGTGATAGGAATAACTTTCCAGTTTACGGATTAATCTTTCAATCTAAATATTTTTCCTGCGTGGAAACCTTTGGCTCTTGTTCTTCTGTGCGTCCACGTTGCTGTTGGAGGTGACGTGAGGGCATGCCATCCCAGGGTGGAGAACGTAAAGAGTCCCCAGATGTGTCCTAGCAAACCCCGGATGTGTCCTGTCCTAGCAAACCTGTTGCTCTTCTCTGCTTATCTGGAATTTAGCCAAGGACCAGGAAGCTGGCAAAAGAATCTGCTTAGCAACCAGAGAAGATGATATAAAATGCACAGAAAACTTGACTTTCTCAGAACATAGTGTTTCCCTAGATACCGTTCTTTCTTTTCTGATGCAGGACCTTGTGTAGTCCAGCCTGGCCTCAGAGCTGCTGTGTAGGCATCTTTAACTTCTGGTCTTCCTAAGGGCTAAGGTCAGAGGGATGTGCCTTCATATTGGCTTATGTGGTACGGGGGGGGGGTGCTTGTGTATGTGAGGCAAGCACTCTATCAAACTGAGGTACACCCCCAGGTGCATACAACCCTTAAAACATTCTAAATAATAATCTATACAGCTCCGTATTTTGAAGAGGGTGAGAACTTCCGTAACTAGTGGTGAAGAGTACCTCCAGATAACATGACGTCAAGGATAACGCTAAACTTAAGAATTGATCACAAACCCTGAGTGAAGTCTTGGGACTGCTTAGCTAGGCCCTCTCGACTGACTCTCGGCTCATGTCTACATGATGATATGAACGAGTGATTCGTTCTATCTCCTGCCGACAGCAGCAAAGTGCCAGAAGGTTCTTACTCTTAAAACACATTCTTTAAGAAGATAAGAAAGTGTTCAGTATACATAGAGAACATTTACATCCAAGGTAATTAACCTCCAAACTGTTCGGGTGCGCGTCAGCAATTCAGAGAGCCAGGCTGTGCAGAGTGACTCATTCATTGAATGGCTGAGATTTCCCATACCCAAGTCATCCTGTGTCGTTTATTTTGTAATCAACAGTTAAAATATATGCACATTTCTTTTTGTGCTTGGAGATTTCAAACTTAGTAGATGAGGATCAAAATTGTATCTGAGGCTTTATTTTATGCTCATAAAGAAAAAGCATTACTATGAAGTGACTTTAAATAGGCTGCACATTGAACATGGTCCATTGGAGATCTGTGGGATGTGTTTTTCATTTCCCTCCTTACTAAGAATCTAGTGGCTGGGTGGTGGTGGCACATGACTTTAATCCCAGCACTTGGAAAACAGAGGCAGGGGGATCTCTATAAGTTTGAGGGTCTACAGAGCAAGTTCCAGGACAGCCAAGGCTACACAAAGAAACCCTCTCTTGAAAAACCAAGGGGGAAAAGAATCTAGTGATATGCTGATTTCTTCTTTGCCCTGGGTTCATAACCACCAGAGAGAGATGGAAAGAAGGAATTGGCTCAGTTTCTGCTATGGCTTTGATGTGCAATCTTCCCAAAGGTCTATGTGTTAAAGTCTTGATTTCCAGATTGAAAACACTGCAAGGTGGTAGAACCCCTAAGAGGGGTCTGGTGGGAGCCTCCAGATCATGGAGGGTGTCCCTTGGAAGAGAATAGTGGGTGTGCCCCTTCTTCTTCTCCTTGGCTCTTCCACATTGAGGTGAATGTTTTTGCTTTGCCATGATGTAATACCATGGGCCCACAACAGCAAAAGCAACTGATCATGGATGGAAACCTCCAGCACTGTGAGTCAAACCTTTTCTCTTCATAAGCTGACCACTGCAGGCATTTGCTACAGTCACGGAAGCTGACAAATGCGGTTCCCTGCATTTGTGCAACTGTTTTGCCTCTGCACTCCAGACTTAGTCAAGGATGGCGGTCATGTCCCCAGTAAGTAACTGCTTGTTTCCAGAACCCTTGTGACCTTAAATAAGGGCTCAGTGTGAGCCAGCGCAGGTTCACATTGTGACTTTGCTGGTCTCTGTTTATAGCGACAGTTTCCCGGAATAGCAGGGGCTTCGATGCTAACATTATGGCAAACTAGAACGTCTGCAACTTCCCTCAAAGCTTTGCAGAGAACAATAGACTGTGTGACACTCTTCAGGGTTTTCTGTCATCTGCGCTTGAATTGCATTCTGTCAGCAGAAAGCGAATGATAAATCACGATCTACAAGTTAATGCATAAAGACTTTTAATTCACAAATAGCATGTATTTTTAGGGGAATTAGGTGCTTTTATAGTAAGTTAATGTAAAAAAGAAACATTGTTGCTTACCTCTAATTAAAAACCAGAGACGACTCTCTGAAGTGGGAATGCTCGAGACAGGAATGGATAGAAGTTGGGGGGCACTCCTGGGGTGGATCTGCTGTCCTTAGTGAGTGAAGATGCTGGTCCTGTGGGTGTTATGACTTTGGGTCACGTAGTGCTGGTGTGCTGTTTCCTCTCCTCAACTGACTTTTCAGGATTGCAAACAGAGTAAAATGAACAGCAGAGGGGGTTTTCTTGATGACGTGATAAGGTATTATTTGCAGTTTTTTCATTTAATTTATTCTCTCAACGAACACTTTCTGATTGTCTGCTATTCCCCTGGCCCAATGCTACACAGCGGGAAAACAGAGATAGCCCGCCATATTCCAGTGTCTGGCACACGGTAGCTGTTTGCAGTATTGAGTGAATAGCTAATTCTCTGAGGTGCTGAAATGGACGTACGGTCATAAAACATATGGGAGGAGACATACTGAGGGATGGTGAAGAAAGCAGCAAGTTGCTCCGGCAAAGGCTGAGGCGACTTCGTTGAGCTGGATACGTGTGGAGTTGAATCTGGAGTGGTGGCTGTGGACTGGTTCTACATAGAGAAGATTTCAACGAGGAGGCAAAGTCGCACTAGCAAAGCAGAGGACAGCATTTGTCCAACTGTCCTGGTAAGGCAGGGAGCGGTGAGTGTGCCGTAGTCAAGCTCTAGGGTGCAGAAGTTCAAAACAGAAATGGTGTCTGTGCATGGTGTGGCCAGCCGAAGAGTTTGGAGTTCATTCTGCAGAAGTGACTGAAAGCCCTGGTGGACTGCTATGCAGGGGCATGCTGGGAAGGGTCAGGGAAGGGGCTCACAGGTGGGAGGGATGTATGTGGTACAAGTATCATAGATTTTAATGTGTTTGACGTGTCCGTATGTTATATGGGTCGTGTGGTGTGTGCAATGTGCATGCATGGCATGGGGATGTGAGTAGTGTGATATGTGGATTTGTGTGTGATATGGGTAGTGCAGTGTGTGTGGTATGTACATGTGGCATGTGGTGTACAGATGTGTGGCATTTGTGGATAGCGTGTATGTGGTGTATCACAGTGCGTGGCTTATTGATAGTATGGTGTATATGTGATGTGGATAACTGGTCGGCGGTGTGTGTGGTAGGCATATGATGTGTGTGACATGTGTTTAGTTGTGTGTGTATGTATGGTGTGGAGTGTAAATGGTGTGGCATTTGAATTTGTATGTGTGGTATGGCTAGTGTATGTGTATGGCAGGGGTATGTTGTGTGCATGTGAGTAGTATGCTGCGTGGGTTTTATGAGTGACATGTAGGAATGTGGGCATGTTGAACTTGCAGATATGTATACCATATGCACTGTGGGTGTGAGTAGCAGGTCTGGGTATGGCTGATAAAGTATGTGAGGTGTCTATAGGGTTATGCATGACCTGTGGGTGTCAGGACTGTGCTATGTTGGGGTGTGTGTACAGTATAGGTAGTATG